ATGGGTTAAGCGGATGAGGGGCCATCTAAATAGCACTATTAGCAGGTGCATGTTAACTTTGACAGTCAGAGTCAAGCTGTGTTGTATTTGTTAGGCAGCTTTCCAGGTGATGTAAGACATGTTAAATATTCTTAGTTATTAAACTTGACACAAGTCACAAAAAAGGGATACATATTCTATGGACTGTCAAGTGCATCATACTATATAGTATTTTGACACTCAGATTTGACAGCAACTTTTAAAATTAGTTGTGCAAAGTATATGTTATTAAATATATGGATTTATTGGTTGGCAACGTGACTTAAGCTATCAAATTGACATAAACATGAGCTAGAGAATTTATTAGATACGTCTACAACTTAAATTTGACTACATTTGGCAACAACTATTAATAGCATTTGTGAGGAGTAGAAATAATTTTGGTTTCATTTCAACAAAAGTCCCAATAGAAATTGATTTAAGGCTTCATTGGCTGCCCTAAAGTGAAAAATTGACAGGAGCAAAAGCTTGAAAATTTGTCTGATGAGTCCCAGAGTTAATTAGGTAGTGGTAGGAATTGACAGCAACTTTTAACAGAATTAGTTAATTAGTATTAGTATTAGTTTTTTGCTAAACAATAATTAAAATGTATAAGAAAAAGCCAATTAGAAATTAGCAATTAGCTGAGAAATATATAGAATATGTATAAGAGTTATTTTCTGCAACATTTGACAGTGACTGTTAAGGGTAGAACTAAAGAATATGCAGTTATACAATTGCGTCTACTTTAAATTAAAGTTTATTCAAGTATATAATCCTAATATGACATATAACAACTCCCTCTGACTTGCTAATGATCTAGTTCAAGGAACTTTCTCATTACACAGCATCTGCTGGTCGGGTAAACTCGATAAGAGCAAACGTCTACATATTATTCTTAGTCTATTTTCATCTACTTGCTGTTCGCCTGCATAAATCAAGGCAAATGAATGCTATTTAGTTGATGGCTCAGGCCAGGAAATGCGCCGCTTAGCCAAACACACACACCGACACAGACACAGACACACGCACACACACATGAGCGTACACTTAACTGTTGGAAAAGTTAGATGTAGCTGCCGCCTGTACAGTTACAAATGCAGTTGGTTTGGCATTTTCCACATGCATTTCTCAAAAGGCAGCGGAAACCACGCCAAAAGCAGGCAAAACTCTGGCAGCATCAACAAGCGACGTTGGCCCATCTTAAGATGTATTGCATTAGTCTGTGACCTGCAACCAACACACACACACACACACACACGCACACAGACTGGCATGCCAACTGTGTGTGTGTGTGTGGCACTTCCGTTTGATATTAGCCCCGCACTTGGATGCGTTTAGTCAACAGCTACAAACATGGCGCAAAACTTGAATAGCTGCACATTTTGGATACGTAATGCATTTCTGCGGTTGCTGCTGCTGCTGCTTCTGCTTCTGCTGCCAGAGGCCAACAACCGAAACGAGAGACGAAAACTAAACTCAACTCGACTAAACTAGTCGAGATGAGACCAGACGAGACGAGATGTGACACGACGAGCCGATTAGACTGCCAGCCTTTTCTTTGTTGCTTCAAGATGCGTCTGGTGGGTGGGCTGAAAGTGGAGGGCAGGAGCTGTAGCTGTAGCTGGGGCCATCGACATTGCGAAGCTGTGGCTGCCACAGCCTTTCATATTTTGCATATTTGTGGCACTGCTCATAAATTCAGCCAGCAAATGTATCGCATCAGCAGCAGCAGCAGGAGTAGCAGCAGCAGCAGGAGTAGCAGGAGTAGCAGCAGCAGCAGGAATAGCAGCAGCAGCAGGAGTAGCAGGAGTAGCAGCAGCAGCAGCAGGAGTAGCAGGAGCAGCAATTGCTTTAGTCAGCCTCTCAAATATTTCGGACTGCATTTGGTAGTTCTGCTGCTACTCCTGCTGCTGCAGCTGCTGCGACTCCTGCTCTGGCTTGATAAAGCCAAACGCCAGGCCAAATGATTTGTGCACTTGCTTCATCTAATGGCAACGCTTTTGGCTTATCTCTGGCCAAGTCTGGGCTCAGTGGCATTGCTTATGCAATAAGCCATCAACTGGCTAGAGCTCTCGATTGCCGAATCGCAAAAATTAGTCGAGTCTTGGGCTGGTCTACAAAAAGCTGTCAATCAGATTCGTGATTGTTTATTGACTGAACTGAGCTGAACTATCGGCAAGTGAAATTCTCCTAAAATAACTTTTAAGATTTTCCATTAATTTAGAAATTATCTTAAGTGTGTATGCAAATATGTCTATGCTCAGCCAATTTAACTATGATGCGGATCTAGATATAGATAATTATATATCAGCGACTGTTTTAGCTGCCAAGCAGCAGTCTTGTTCTGGGTTATTTTCTTAATTGCTTCTGCATGGATTTAATTGAAAGCAAGTAAACTCGAAATTCAGTCAGCTGCATTCTGTCTATTCAATCTTCAATTTTCAATTAGCCGCCAGCCATATCATATCACTTGACTTAGGCCAACACGCGCACCGCTCTGAGACTGCTTGAGGTCAGAATTCGAGATGTTAATGCCACACATAGGGAACCGCGTTAACCGAAATCAGAGGTCAGGTTTCAGGTTTCAATGGATTGGAGTTTATATAATGCTTTCGATATAGATTGCAATTGAATCAAATATACCGATAGATGGCTTTCACTATCGATTGTGATAATAATCTCACTATCGATAGTTTTGCATTGATAGACTAGATGGAATAGCAATATGGTCAGCAATTAATATATAGTTTAGTAGGGTTTATATAGTTATTTAATTGTATTATTTTCACAGCTCTGCTTCTGAACTTCTTCGTGGTCTCTTTAAAAAGCACGCTCTGCTTCTTCATCTTCTACTTAAGCTATTCATGGATATCACACTCACGCAACTATCGGAAGCCTCTTAGCCATCGATATGGTTAAGTATCGATAGATACTGTTCCCTTTAATCTCTTATTGGCCGACTACAATATAAATCTATCGATCGATGGCTATAGTGCGATGATAGAGCATAGCTTGAGCCGAAGAAGAAGAGCGAATTTAAAAGTGTTAACGAAAGAGCTTCAGATGTATAGTTGAGGAAATAGGATTCTCACTCTCGCAATAAAATTTTGCATTAGAGCAATTGCTTTGCCTATTCTTTCGATACTAATTCTCATTTTATATACAAAGTATACAAACTAATTACAAAATATTTTTAAATTCTGCAAATAAACAAAACTAGTAAATTAGTAACAAAAAAAAAAAACAGAAATAAATAAATAAAAATATCACATTGAATATGAAAAACTCGCTCCACATGCTAATTTGTGCTATAATAATATTTATGGAATTTACATGTTTTTAGATTTGTTTACCTTTGCATCTCCCTCACACTCTAATGCTCTCTCTTTTTCTCTCTCTTTTTTCCAGGTAAGTATCAGATTGACTTGCTGGCCGAGCTGTAAGTAACAACATTTATTTAACATTTATTTGCACAATTTGCCCATAAGTAAATAACGGTAAACGCTTAACATAAATACGCGTATTTTACTCCACTGGTTTTTCATTCAACAGAAAAGAAAAGAGTAAAAATAAAAAATTCGTAAAACTAAAGTAAATACATGTTTTTTTTTAGCAAGAAAAAACGTTGTGTACTTAATTTTTTTTTCAGTAAATAAATTAAATATTGTTTAATAATAATAATAATATAAAAGGCAAATTCGCTTTAAAATCCTGTCAATTCAATTGATGTAAAAATTTTGCCTCGTCTACTGCTGAGTGCGTGGAAAGAAGCATTAAAAATTATATTTAAACTGTATACGTGTGTGTGTGTGTGGGTGTCCATTTGTGTGTGTGTGTGTGTGCGAAAGCTTTCAACTTTCAACAAGCCAGCGAAGGCATGCATAATATTTTTACTGTGTGCTTCTTGTTGCCACGTTGCAGCAGAACCTTTGGCCAGGACATGCCACACACAAACACATAAACAGATATATATATATATTGTATATGTATGTCGGTGTGTGTGTGCATACCTTTGACAACGCAGCAATTCGTGGAGACGTTGACAACATTGTTTTATTAAATACAAAATATAAAGAGCAAAGGGCTTAAACAATTTTTACCGATAAAGGTATGCCATAGCTTAACTACCCTAGCGAAAAAATATATAATTTTTTAATTACTTAAATATGCCCTTAATAATTAATACTTATATGTAGATTAAGTCAGAAATTAAAATATATAATGAAATATTTATAATTTAGATATAGTATAGATATTAGCAGTCCTTAAATTACTAAAAATTTATTTAACTACATATCAAGCTCTCATTAATAATGGTTCATTTGAATAATGAGAGCTGCTGCATTAATCGAAATTCAGAGACAGTTTATAAGACAACTCAATGATTTGTGGGCCACACTGAAATTTATGACAAATAATTTTATAAAACTTGCGACGGGGTTAGTTCGAGGTGCCATGTTACAGCTAAGCTGACTTGATGAATGGGAATTTAAGTTAACACTTTGTAGTCAAAGAGAGCGCAGCAATAAGAGAGTTAACAGAGCTCTATGTTAACAGCGTGGGAAATGGTAAAGAGAAGCGAGCAGCAAAACAATGTAACTCGATGTTAGCCAGTTAAGAGTGCGAAATAAGAAATGTTAAAAGTGTTCAAGCTGTTAAAATACAATGTAAGACAAGCGATTAGTTTGTTGAAGAGCAAGTTACAATAAAATATGCGAAGTGGAAAGTTATATGAACTTTGGTAAATAAATGTTGCCTGCTTTTAATTACAGAAAGCTAATAAACATTTTTTCAATTAAAATTTGATTAAATTATTTAATCTGTGAATTGAAATCAAAATAGATTTTTTATCATAATCATAATTAGACAAGTAGTTATATATTTTATTATTGTTTCTAATAATTCATAAAGTCAGCCAATATTTTACTTGTTGAGCAGTCAGTGTAACTTAACACTTTCCCTGCAAGTTAACAGCAGCCGGCTCGCTGTGCGGCAAAGAGCAAATTTCCCTCTGTTAAAGCCGGCATAAATGGCACTGGTGCCGGCAGTAGGTCAACCTACTAACCTAGTGAGCGCATTTAACAGTGCCCCAACGATACACAAATTAAGAGCAGTCACCCAATGCTGTCGTCCGCTTATCAACCGTTACCCAGTAAGCATGAGCCGGTCTAACAGCTACAGCTGCTGTTAAGGCTGTTATGACTGTTAGCATAGCATCTTACAGCTGTACAGCATCCTGGTGGCTGGGGCAGCTGCTCGGCTACGGTTAGTACATTTTTAGCTGTTGACGGCGGTGCGCGCGTTTTCGGCTGCTGTGTGGATGTCAGATAGACCGTTACGTTTAACAGTATTTTCCATGCGATTAGAGTTCGTGGCGTGTGCTGGGCACATGAAAGATTACACCCGAATATAAAATTCAATGTAAAGTTGTCGGAGGCAATAAATGGTTTGTGTTTTTCTGTCTGTGCGTGGAGTGTGTGTCGGCGTTTGGAGTGCAGCGAAATGCGAGCAGATAAATTATATTAATGTGATATGATAGCCGAAAATTTATGGGCACTCGCACTTGATGCGACCTGATAACACAATGTTCAAACGAATCAAAATGCCAACATAAATAATGAAATGAATTAAATTAAAAATGAAAATAATACGAGTGCCTACACTATATATCATTCAGTGTGCGTGCGGCTGCGTGAGTGTGTATGAGTGTGTGAGTGTTTGAGTCTTTGAGTGTGTGTAACAAATGGCGTGTGAAGCTGTTGGCCATTTAAATGCCAGTTAATCATAATCAAAGCGCGCGTGTAAACAGTTTAATTAATCCGCACCCTATGCGATTATCATGATAATTCTGATTAAACTGCATTGATGACCTGACAATCGAGAGCATATTTAACAAAGGAGCGCTCCATTGAGCTCGGCACGTGTGAAGCTCTTCATTTCCAAAGGCTATTAAAAACCGAAACCGTTGTGCGAACAGCATTACGGGTTTAAATCGGCTTATAATTTATATTCAATCACCATAAATACAAAATAGAAATACGATTAAGAGTTGACATCAAGCCAAGGAAAGTTGGCAATAATATTGAAAGTTAACAGCAAGCAAATTATAATTTATTATAATATAATAACAAAATTGATTGCTAAAATTAAATAATAATAATTTTCGTAAAAATTATTTAAAAAAATAAAATAAAATGTAGAATGCAAAATGTTGTTTAATTCACATACAATGAAATAAAATTGAATAAAATATTTAAATTGAATAATAATAATAATAAAAAAAAAAAAAAAAAAACAATTAAACAAAAAGCATCTTCAAAGTAAAAAGTATTAAAAATTATGCTGATACAACACATATTAGAATAAACAAAATGTAAATAATAATCATACAAAAATAAATACATAAGAATTATTTATGTACATAAAAAATAAAAAAAAAACCAAACAAATAAATAGAATCAGTCAGCATTATAAAAGTATAAATAATAAAATATACTTTAAAATGAAATGTAGAAATCCGTTTTGTGTCTTACCCACAAAATAATTTGTCATAAATGCTTGAAATATATAAAAAAAATCGCTTTTAAAAATAATTAAATATTTATTAAGAAACAACTTAAAACGAAAAAATCATTCATGAAAAAGTTAAGTGTTGGACGTCAGTTCTAAAAAAATTCAAACTTTAATGAAAAAAATATTAATGGACAGCGAAACAGAAAAAACAAAAGCTAAGAAAAAAATAAATACCAACCCACGATGCAAATGAAATAAAATAAAAAAGTGTTAAGCCAACATAACAAATTGTTCACAATTAAGAAAAAAAAAAAAAAAACTGAAATGGATTTTAAATAATTTATAAATTATGTGCATCTGTTTTATATGAAACATAAAAGCAACAACAACAATGTCAATCAAATCAAAGCCAACTCAATTGCGTGTTTTACACACACACACATAAACACATTAATCTATATATGTGTGATATTGATGTGTTAAGAGTTTGTGGGCCTGGAGGTAGGGGGCGTGGTTTGACGCATATAAAAGGGCAACGCTTGCTAAGCCGCTTAAGTGCTATCGTGTTGTATACGACGTCAATCCAGAACCAGAAAAAAGGCCAACCGAAACATGATTAATCTCAATTTATGACAACGCCAGCAACAAAAGCAGCAGAGAGAGAGAGAGAGAGAGAGAGAGAGAGAGAGAGAGACACACCCACATACATGAGAAGTGTAGTCAACGGCGCGCTGTGGGCGTCAGCTGGCCAAACGTTAACGATCACGTCAACCAACCATCAATCAATCAATCAGTTTACCAATCAGCGCTAACTGCTGCTGCCAAACCAACTGGGAAAAATTATGAAAGTTCAACCAAAGCTCAGCTTGACTCCGCTGTTACGAACTTTTCCCTCAGCCCGCTCTCGATTAGGGCGTAATTGGGCGTGTTTGTGTGGAGCTTAATTACACTAAGCCCAAGTTGTTGAGCCAGAGCTTATGATTTATGCAAAAGCTGCAATTAGAGCGAGGCTGGGGCCTAACAGCAGCTATCAATTTACGTGGGACTGGCTCATCAATGCGCCAAACGCACTAATAAAATAATAATAATAATTGTGGACCAGACCTGTGCTGAGTGTCATGTGTGTGTGTGTGTGTGTGAGTGGGTGTGTGAGTGTGTGTGGGCATAGAGTTACCTGCACCTTAATTATGATGCTTTGCTAATTAGTTGCATAAATCAAGCTATAAAACCGGATGGACATGTAGTCCAGCAGCTTGTCCTCTCCCTCTCTCTCTATCTCTGTCTCTCTCTCTCTCCTTATCTGTCTCTCTCTTTCTCTCTCTGTCTGTTAATTGGTTTCAAATGTTTTCCTGCGCCGCAAATTGATATTAAGCCAGAGCTTACATACATGAGTTTTGCATTTGTATTTTAGCCAGCCTGCTGCATAATTAAAACGACTTATACATGAAACATAAAAGTGCCCCTAGCCCGCAATACGCACACACACATTATAATATATATATATATGTGTGTGTGTGTGTGTGTGTATGCGTATATACCACCTGAACATAAAAAGTCTCGTTTACTTTTGCACCTCACGACTTTTTGGCTTTCATCTCTCGAGTCCAACTGCAAGTGAGTCGCTGCTCCTCCACTCGCATAATTTATTATTTCCGCTTCATTTATATGACGTGTGTGTGTGTGTGTGTGTGTGTGTGTGTGTGTGTGTGTGTGTGTGTGTGTGTGTGTGTGTGTGTGTGACTATTACACTTTGTGGCACTTTGGTTGGGCATATAAACTTCACATGTGGCGCCATTAAAAGCATGCAACATTATTATTACGATTATGCGATATATGTGTCAGGGTTACGTCTTTCTGCCTGTCCCCTGAGACTGGCTGAACTTGAATTTTGATTGGGTAGCACAAATCAAAAGAACTAATTTATGATTCTGCACCGAAGTGTTCAGGCGTGCTTTGAACTTAATATCCCAATGGGGATGGCAGCGGAATCAGGTTAAAATTACCTTTAATTTATGCTAAAGAATTTATTAATTTTTTATGTTTACCAAAACATAAATTCAGACTTCAAAGTTGAAACATTTTGAAGACTTAAGTGAAGCTGAGTTTATAGCTTAAAGAAAGGGTTTTCCTGGTGGTGGGTGTTGGGGTCTTTCACAAATATCTTCTACTGACTAAAAAAAGATAATAATAAAATAAAATAATTAAATAACTTAAGTTAAAAAAAAAAATAATAATAATAAAGCTATATTACTTAGTTAAATAAAAAAAATAAATAAATAAATAAAATCGAATATGGTTTGGAAGTGTCGTAAATGTTATAAATACTGATAATATATGAAGCCATTACTCCTTATTTTAAAAATCAATCTTCTCCATATTCAAGTCATATTCTATTCAATTAAGCTTGCTTGATTTCATATTTTCAGCTTAGGACAGCGGATATGAAACTGCAACTCCAGCAGTTCAGCGCGCTGAAAAGTATGCTACATTTTTAAGATACACTAATATCTTTTCTGTATAAGCTTCCCTCTTGAAATGCGTACCAGCGCTTTATTTTTGCTCTATTATCCCGCTTATCTGTTGAAGTCGCCTAATGCCAAAAATATATGAAGCGGTATAGAGCCTTGTGTCATATGGAGTTACGGCAATTGCAATCAATCTGCAAACAAAGCGCCAAAAATCTGTTGCCAATTACGTGAATCAAGCGCGAGTGCCACGGGCGTCGTGCCAAGATTTCAGGCGTGTCAATAAGCCTGATATATATATGAGTGTGTGTATATATATATATATATTGTAGAAATAGATATGTCTCTATATATACACACACATTTATATGGCAGCTAACTATTTGAGCCGACAGGCGCACGCTTGGCTGGCTGCACAAAGCGCGGGCTCAGTCATGTGAGCATTATTCGAGCCTACAGCCAGCAGGCGAGTGAACAATCCTGGCTATCCCAGTCCGCCTGTGGCCAACCCGCACACACAGAGTGAGCGAGAGAGTGAGAGCGAGAGGAGATAAACGGCTGTGATTTATTGCATCTAATTGCTCACAAGCTGTAGGGAGGCGGTGTGCGGAGACTGGAGCACGTGCTCCAATAACTTTTGGCTTTCACACCTCAGCAGATTTCGCGAGCACTGCAAATGGGCCCACAAAACGCCGCAGCTTCGCGGACCTTTACCAAAACACCGCAGTTATTGACGACGAGCATTTGCGGTTTACAGTGGCCGCCAATCAATTTGCGCCCGGGTCAGGCTGAGCGTAACGGACGGTTCATTAAAACCAATTTCAATTCACGACGTGGCCAAAACTTTGTGGGTGTATGTGTGCCAGTGTGTGTGTGTGTGGGTGTGTGTGCTTGTCAAACTATCACGGCAGGTGGCGCTGCCAGCACTTTCGACCAGCTGAACTAAGCAATTTGGTTTACATAAATTAGAAACGAACACAAAATAAATCAAACTATCTATCTGATCAACTCCAAAAATTTTACTTGATTATTTCAGGGACTTTATTCAGCTTCATAAATTTTACCGGAATCGAGCATTAAATCATGATGCAAATATTAATTGAATAATTGCTAAATAGAAGCTGAAACCTTAACCGCCATACAAATTTATATTATTATCATTTTTGTTCTCATACGTTTTCTTGAAAATATTTAATTTTAATGTTTTGCACGATAAAAAAAAAAAAAAAAAAAAAAACTAAATAAAAAATTGACATATAAAATAAAAACTAATAATAAATACAAAAATAAATAAAATAAAAATAGATAAAACCGTATACAAATACAAAAAAAAATATATATATAATAATAATAATAAATAAATAAATTTTAAAATGCAAATAAGTAAAATAAACTTAAAAAAAAAATTAAAGCAATAAATAGAATAACAACAAGCAAATATAAACAAAAATATTTTCATGTAAAAAAT